CACAAGTTCAATTTTAGGTGAACTGTCCAAGATGTAAATTAGTTTCTTCATCAGAACAGATTTGGAGAAATGTAGCATTGCATCAGTTGCTCACCAGTGGAGCCTCAGCAGTGAATGGGTGCCGTCAGAATGAGAGTCCAAACAGCTGCTAAAAACACCACAATAATCCACAACAGGACTCCAGTGCAGTGAAAAGCTGTTTTTGTAATCCATCGTTGATGGACTGGAGTCCTGCTGTGGCTTATCTTGATGTTTTTTGACTCATTCTGTCGGCACCCATTCACTGCAGAGTATCCATTGGTGAGCAAGTGATGTAATGCTACATTTCTCCAATCTGTTAACATGGACAAACAAACTCATCTACATCTTGGCTGGCCTGAGAGTGAGTATATTTTCAGCAAATCAGAGGTGAAATATTCCTTTAACAGATACACCTTTAGATGTGAACAATATTAGTAAATGTTGAATTGAGCATTAATAAATGCTTTAGGGGTATTTTTCATGTTAACAAATGGAGCCTTATTGTAAAGACTCCTCAGTAACCTGTTCAAGGGGATAATGGTGATGATGGGATATCTGAGCAAGCATGAAGCCAATATTTCCAGAGGCGTACTTCATAAGCATAGTCCTGCTGTGGCTTATCTTGATGTTTTTTGACTCATTCTGTCGGCACCCATTCACTGCAGAGTATCCATTGGTGAGCAAGTGATGTAATGCTACATTTCTCCAATCTGTTAACATGGACAAACAAACTCATCTACATCTTGGCTGGCCTGAGAGTGAGTATATTTTCAGCAAATCAGAGGTGAAATATTCCTTTAACAGATACACCTTTAGATGTGAACAATATTAGTAAATGTTGAATTGAGCATTAATAAATGCTTTAGGGGTATTTTTCATGTTAACAAATGGAGCCTTATTGTAAAGACTCCTCTTCAGGCAACCTGGCTTCAGTAACCTGTTCAAGGGGATAATGGTGATGATGGGATATCTGAGCAAGCATGAAGCCAATTCCGTGTTTCCAGAGGCGTACTTCATAAGCATCCACAACTCGCGCGTTCATACATCGTTTCGCCGCGAGGTCAAGAAGGAGGTGCAATAATGAGGATGATGATGGGTTCATAACGACGCGCGCGCTAGGCTTATAGCGCCATGCGGACACCTCTCACTTCACACCAACCCTTAGCAGGGTGTAGCCTATCTATCATTTTCTGCCATGCTAAATGCGGTCGCCTATTTAAAAAGGGGATATTCTTTGTTAATGCAGTCGCTTACATATTGGATGAGTGGCATGGCCTCTACCTATATCAGTAGAGGACCATCACTTCCTACAGCCGCATTGTGGCTGCGCATCCATTCCTCTCCAGTGACTTCAGGCTGAGCATCACCGCGCTGGGCCCTAAAGCCTGAGAGCATTCTGTTCCGCTCGATAAACACACGACGTCTTCCCAGGCCCGGCTCCAGAATCTAATCACTGAGGGTGCTTCTTAAATCAGTGAGGGTGCTCTAACTATATATATATTTGCGCCATAGCAACGGACGCCACTAATAGGCTATATCTATAGTGGCGTCCATTGCTATGGCGCAAAGAGCGCTCTGTTCATAATCACTAAAAAAGCTGTCACTCATATTTGTATATCTATTTTTTTTAGAGTCAATGGATGGAGCAAATAGCTGCAGACAAATGAGGTCCCTTTTTAAGTTTTGGGTTTTTACCAATGCTGTATAAGTAATTTTTTGGAGTGCCACATGTGTAAAATGTGCGGAAAACTGACCACACACTTGTGTCTGTGTGACAGCCCTATAGCACATATGAGCAGCAAAAATGACGCCCTGTCCCAAATGAAACCTAAAATGTTACATGGGACACCTGTCTTATGGAGTCGTACAGTCATGTGCGATGATGCTCATCAGAATTCCTTAAGAATATGATTTGAGACAGGGCCAGAACCTGACTGGGGCCCTGTGTATTGGCCAGTCAGAGGCAAAATGACCGTGAATTTAACGGTAAAAGACTGTAAAGATGCTACAATAAAAACCTGTTAAATGGTTAACGGTAAATTCCCCTACTATATACGGTGAAAAACTGTATTGTACATTACATGTATTGGACATTAATTTTACGGTAGTATACCGTTTTTGGAAGTGAAAAAGAATTACCCGTGTGACATTTCAAATTTGATGTTTTTTTGTTTAAATAACTATGTTTCTTCTTAGTTTTTTCTTATCAGGTTTGTATATTAGGGTTGTGTGTTACACCTAATGTTGTTAAATGAATGTTTATTGCATTATTTCAGTTTCATGTGTGTTATCGTGATGGTGTTTAGTGTTTGTGTGAATGACACTGTGCACCTTCTATATATGTTATTATTTAAAAGCTGCTTGTGATGGGCTTTGGTTCATCATGTGACTTTCTCATTACTTGCATTTGGTGGTTATCAGTGTATTACAAAGGTACAAAACAGATTTCAGTACTTCAATAGGTTGGTATATTAACATTATATCAGTTAATGAAATTACGGTATATTTAAGTTAAAACGGTAAAACCTAAAACGTTGCTGCCATATTTTTTACGGTAAAATTCCGGCAACCACAGCTGCCGTTTTTTTACCGTAAATTTTACGGAATATTTTTCACAGTGTATTATATAAATTTACTAGCAATTTCATAGTGAAAATTCTTACTGTTATTTTTTCAGTGTTGAATTTTCAGCATCATTACTCATTAATCTTCAGTGCCACCTGATCCTTCAGAAATCATTCTAATGTGCTAATTTGCTGCTCAAGAAACATTTCTTATTATTATCAATGTTGAAAAAAGTTGTGCTGCTCTATATTTTTGTGGAAACCGTGATTGTCCTTTTTCAAGATTCTTTTATGAATAGAAAGTTTAAACGAACAGAATTTATTTGAAACAAAAATGTTTTGTAACAGTATGAATGTTACTATTTTTTGACCAATTTATTGCATCCTTGCTGAATAAAACAGCAATGGGAGACAGACAGAGTATTTGGGAAAGCTTTTCCGTATATTTGTAACTGAATATGAGAATATCATAATAATAATTTTTCCACCAATAGGGGCTTGGGAAAGTCAACCAGTTTTGTATGGGTATTCATCAAATCTAGCTGTCTGTTCAGAAGCTGCTTTGCATAATTTTAAAAAGAGTTATTTTTTATGGAAAATAATACTTTAAAAGAATATGCGAACTGAATGAAGCGTTTTCTGACACTTAACTGCATGTTAATTAAATGAAAATGTATTATAGTTTACATTTATATTGCATGCAATTAATTGAACTTAAGAGGGTTTTTGACCCATTTAAGTATGACATCTTTATAATTTTAATACATCTTTGTAATTTCATAATTACTTTTATTGTGTGTGGAAATAAAGTGTATTGCTGAATGTACTGACAAACATTTATAATAAAATATACTTTAATGTTGATACGTCATGTAGGCCTATTTAAATATATTTAGGCTATAATTAGGCTACACATTTGTAGCAGAAGTTTCAATTTAGTATTTAAAACATCCATCCATCCATTCTCCAAACTGCTTACCCTCTGTAGGGTCGCTGGTCTTTTAAAATACATTAACATTAAATGTAAAGTCAAATAACACTACAGTTAAAATAATAATCAAGTAGCCTACTTCTCTGAAGCATGACAAAAGATTATCTAAAACAATGATCTGAAATGTAAACCTTTCAGTTTGACATTATTACAAATGACACTTTTAAAAAGTGTATTTAAGTGTTAAGAATCAATCATGAAAATGAATTCTCTTTATATACACTTAAGTGGCCTTCAGTAATATTATATGTGACCCTGGAGTCTTAAGTCGCACGGGTATATTTGTAGCAAAAACCAAAAATACATTGTATGGGTCAAAATGATAAAATGTTCTTTTATGCCAAAAAGGATATTAAGTAAAGATCGTGTTTTTAAAAAATCCCTACCGTAAATATATCAAAACTTAATTTTTGATTAGTAATATGCATTGCTAGGAACTTAACTTTAAAGGTGATTTTCTTAAAGGGGTCATATGATGTTGCTAAAAAGAACATTATGTTGTGTATTTGGTGTAATGAAATGTGTTTATGCGGTTTAAGGTAAAAAAAACACATTATTTTCCACATACTGTACATTATTGTTTCTCCTCTATGCCCCGCCTTTCTGAAACGCATCTATTTTTACAAAGCTCATCGGTCTGAAAAGCGAGGTGTATGCTGATTGGCCAGCTATCCAGTGCGTTGTGATTGGCCGAATACCTCAAGCGTGTGACGGAAATGTTACGCCCCTTACCATACTGTGATGCTTGCGGCAACCACATGTGACGACCTCGGGCTGCTGTCAGCTCCAGGCATGACGAAGCGATATCGTCCTCTTTTGGAAGACCAGCGCCTTCACGACATGATTGCAGCGTTAACAACAAAACTACAGCGAGAATAAAAGTTACGTCTTCTTTCTTTGCATGCACATTTGGGCGGCGTTATGCAAATCTTCCCACATCGTGATGTAGATATGTGGGGGCGTGTTAGAACGAGCCGTTTTAGGTAGGCGTGGCTGACTCTGAACTTTTATAAAGAATATCTCTTTGGATTTGAGACTTTAGTCTTTGCAATTTTACAGATCTTCTTTATGCACCAAGAGCTTGTAACACTCCAAAGAGAAAGGAAAACTTTCCTAACAAACATACATCAATGAAAAGTTTACTTAGTCAGCTTTCAGATGATGTATAAATCACAATTTCAAAAAACATCACCCTTATTTATGACTGGTTTTGTGGTCCAGGGTCACATATGGTCTTCAGTAATATTATATAATCTGATTTAAGTACACTACAAGTGCACATTCATGACAGTCGTGTTCACAGGGGTATTGTGGTGTGTGCACAGCTGTTTTCTGAGAGACTGGTTCGTGTCAGAGGGCAGCGGTCTCCTCTCCTCTCCTCTAACGTTACCCGGCCGGCGCTGGGACCCGGAGGCGCGCGCTGCTTCACTTCCTCTTTCGGCTCGCTCTCTTTCTCTCGTCTGTGATCATGGCTGCGCTCAAACAGTACCAGCCATGTTTGCAAATCTGAAACCCAAAGGTTAGCGATTTAGGCGTTTATTATTTACATCGCGTACACCCTCTTCACCACATCGGTCCTCTGCCGGGGGCCACACTCCGCGTCTCCTGCGCGGTCGGCAGGCATCAAGGTTGGGCAGTTTTATTATCATTATACGGGAAACTTTTGAGACAGTGTTGTGTGGGTGATGCTGCCTCATTTTCTCTTAGCGTACATCGGGAAGATAACCCGAATTAATCAACGCAACATGACCTTCTGACACGAGACGATGAACGTCCGTCTTTAACGTCGCATTCGTGGAGACGAGCTTTAAAAACACGAGAAGCCTCCCCTAATGTCTTACAGCTCAGACTCTATTGTATTTATATAATCAGCCCGTTTTATCTGTGCGTCTTTAATTATTTAAATAACGCACAAACCCGTGCTTATGTAAATAAGAGCTGCTGCTTTCGCTTAACTCGCAGCACTTGCTTTCGTCGATGATTAAACGCTGTTAAAGTGATTTCGAGCCCAATTTCATTCATGCGTCTAAATACTGAATGAACATGAATGCTAATCGGCGATGATTGTCTCTTAAACGCTGGCGATGCGGGACGCGGGCCTGGTTTGGTCGCTGGTGTACACCGAGCACTTTAATCCAACTTCACATCAAAACAGCATGTTATAAGTGTCTGCATGTCTCCAGCTTTTCATGAGGCTCTTCACTAAAACGCCTTCCCGCTATCTTTATTTGCGGTCATGTGTGTTAATACAGAATTAGTCTTTTATTTTAAAGCGATGTCTTTGTGTGTTTATTGTTTGGCCGCATCTCGTTTCCTTGTCTCAGTTGTATGGGTTATTAATTAATGATCGTGCAAGAGTGAAATTATATGAACGCAGAACACTAGAGCAGATGTGAGCTGGGTTACCCCGAGCTGTGGTGCTCTAGTGTTGGAGAAGTTTGATCAGATGTGGATATGTATTTATATATATATGTGTGTGTGTGTGTGATCGGAAGCAGCGCATGGTCATGTGCGATGGTTAGCCTCCATGCTAGCCGATTCCAACATCTCCGTCGTTTCTTTATTCACATTTCCCGCTTGATATTTAATTAAACACCACTCTTTCTAAGTATGTGTTGCTTTTTAGTGGCGCTATGTCGGCCGCACGGCCGTTCTGAATGAAATCGCGCAGTTTAGAGTTTGATGTTTACAGTTAGCCGTGTGGCTAATGATGGACACGCATACAATAATCAGCGCCGCAGGATTTGATCTAAATGCACAAGTCGTTTTAATTAGATTTGATAAAAAATATCCAGGACTGACTTGTTGTTATGTGTCAGGTGTAATGGTTGAGGCTGGCGTTCAGCACGAGAGCTGCGTGTGAGATGCGTGTTATTTAACGCGATTGCTCGGGCATCTCATCGGCTTTATCTGCGACATTTTATGTTGAGATGTGAAGAGCAATATTTGTGATGTCCGCCGCAGCAGTGTTCACTGGCGGCGTCTCAAAGCCTCGCACAGCGTTCTGGGCGCTCCGAACGTTCTGTGTGTCATCAAAGAGGCCGAAAACCCCATTAGAACGCGATGCGCGCGCCAGCAGTGCTGATAAACGCGTATAGTTGGGCAGATCGCTCGTTTTTGAGACGCAGCCGCTGTCTTTAGCACTTGTGGTTCGTGAACGAAGGTTGGGTGAGAGTTGGAGTCTGCAGATTTTTAGTACAAGAAAGATGAGAAGGATCTGCCTATTGTTTAAAATGGTAATTGTGGTATTAGGAAAGGGTTGAAATGTGAGTCTGGTTATTTGGAATAATTAAAATTCATTTTTTCCATGGGTTTAACTTTTTTTTATTTACACAAATATTTATGCCACAAAAATGGATTGTCCACTGATCCACTTTTTTTTTTTTGTAATGCTGTGTTTTTAATGGTTTGACAGCTGAATGACAGACACCAAGGCAAACAAAAAGCACAACCTATTGAGTTGTTCGAACTGTAAAAGCATGGACCTAGCAACACCAAGGTTATCGGTTCGATTCCCAGGGAATAACTGAACTGATGCAAGCTGTTTCGTATAAAACCGTCTGCCAAAAATGAATATATATATATATATATAAACAAGTAACATTCTGTTCCTCAAAGCCTCATTTTCATCCATGTCAAATTACCATGTACTGTTTATCGTGACTAATGTTTATAATGACATTAAAGTTTTAAAGTAGGTTTCTTGAATATATCCCACACCCTGCCTGTCGTTGGTGGATAAATGGAAAGGCCTGCCCTAAACTTACTTGAATACTAGTTGAGCCAGTATTGCTGTATCTAGGCCTGTCGCAGTAATCAATATATCGACTTGTCACGCAATATATGTACATGACCTCAATAATTTTTGGTGATGCAAAATATCGCCCATTATATTTACTTAAAGGGGTCATATGATGCGATTTCAAGTTTTTCTTTCTCTCTGGAGTGTTACAAGCTGATTGTGCATAGATAAGATCCCGGAAGTTGCGAAGACTAAAGTCTCAAAACCAAATAGATATTCTTTATCAAAGTTAAGACACTGCCACGCCCCCCTAAAACGGCTCGTTCTAACACGCCCCCACATATCTACCTCACTATGTGGAAATATTTGCATAATGCGCCCAAATGTTCACGCAAAGAAAGAAGGCGTGTTTTCAGTAACCGCAGTTAGTGTTGAAGCAGCATGTCAGGGAGACGCTGTGTGTTTCTCTAGGCGAAAGCAAAAGCACTTTATTTGGCCTTCCGAAAGTAGATGCAGAGAGAGAGGTGTGTGTGTGTGTGTGTGAGAGAGAGAGAGAGGGTCACACTGTCTTAACCGTGGCTTGTGTACTGCACACATACCAGCTTCATCACTGTGTCACGCGACTCTGTTCCCCTTTCGGGCTCTGTCTTTACATTTATTTAGAAAGATGAAGCTCACGATTATGGTAAGGGGCGTTACATTTCCGACGAGTGCTTGCGGTGTTCGGCCAATCACAATGCACTGGGTCAGCTGGCCAATCAGAGCAGACTGCTTGTCGGAAGGAGGGACTTTGTAGAAAACGAAGCGTTTGAGAGAGGCGGGGCATAGAGGACCTACAATAATGTACAGTATTTGAAAAATAATGTGTTTTTTGAACATTAAAGCATGTCAACATATTCTGTTACACCAAATACACAAAATAATGATCTTTAAAAAAGCATCATATGACCCCTTTAAAAATTATTGTCACCGTGTTTTGTACATTCCACTTGCGTCTGTGTCTTTTGCAGCTTCTTGTACATAACGTGGTGTAGTGATGAGGTGCTACTTCAAATTTTAAAAATGCTTCTACAATCAAAGTTTCATCTGAAGATATGGTCTTGTTTAGGGATCTGTGCCTTTGTGCATACGGACATCTGACTGCTGAGTAGTAATTGTGTTTTTCAGCAATAGTGTGCACCCTTCATTTACAGAGAAAAGAAGGTCAGGGAAAAATCTGTAGATGGAAAAATCGCCATACAAGTTCTTTGTGCATTTTTCTTTTTTTTTTCTCTAATTGTTACTTTGCACTTTATGTTAGAAAATGTTTATTTACTATTTATTCAAGTTTTAAAGGTATCTAATATTTTTGATTCTTAATTTCCACGATCTAAATATTCTTAAAAATTAAAAGTTTGTTGTCATTTGGAAGTGTGTAGGCCTTCTTGCATTACTATGCTGTTACATTATGATTATATATTCAGTGGCATAAAATGGTCTTTAAAATGACAATAATATCGCTTATCGCAATTATTTCTGGGGAAATATATCGCACAATAAAAAGTTGTTATCGTGACAGGCCTAGCTGTATCAGATTGTTAGAGATGTTTTTGAAAATCACAGAATCACATACTTTAGTAGGCACTACAGTTGATGAGGAACAAACTTTGCAACTGATAAAAAAAAAAAAAGTATGTTGTAGTATGAATGTAATCCAGGCGTACCGCTTTTGCCATGTTGGCTTTCTCATGTGACCTACAGCATCAGTTGCATCGCTTCTCTGCCATTCATAATCCTCTCCCATGGCCTTTGTGGGATAGTAAAGTGTGCTTTAGATGCATACTTCAGAATCTCATCTGAAGTAGTAGCTCATCTGGGTACTTTTCGCCTAGTTTTATTGAACTCTATGAATTTGGACATAAGGTGCATCTCAATTTGTGTCCTTATGCACTATTCTGTGACATTTTGTAGTATAAATAGTGTGATTGTGTTCACACTGAAAATTTCAATTAGAAGTGCACTTAATTAACCAAAAAAATCTAGGTGTGGAATGGACACTTCACGCTTTCAGATTCTGATGATGGACAAGATAACTTTATAAAACTTGTATTGTTCATAGTGTAGCTATAGTGTATCATTTGGGACACAACAATACTGATTTTACATCATGTTTAGTAGGCATATTTAGATGCAGGGACAGTGTTTACACTTTAGGGAAGTCAGATGACAATTGGCATATTTACAGTTGTCTGTGCATAAGAACGTGGCATAAGTGAAAGTAACTTAATACTAAAAATATGCCTCGTATCATCTTTCAATTGTGTTTTTTTTTTTCTTCCGCCAGATGGAAGCAAATAACCATTTCAACTACGGGCCTCACTCTTCTGTGTCCGCTAACTCAGGAATGAAGCATTCCTCAGGAGATTCTCTCTTTACTAACGGGTCCTCCATGAGCTTCCCCCAGCAAGGGAAAAGTGAGTCTGTGTCTTGTATTTGCATTTCATTTTTTATCCATACATGTTGTCTATAATTCCATAAATGTGGTGGATTTTGAGCCCTTAAAGGGTTAGTTCACCCCAAAAATGAAAATTCAGTGATTGAATACTCACCCTCATGTGGTTCCAAACCCGTAAGACCTTCGTTCATCTTCAGAACACAAATTAAGATATTTTTGATGAAATCCCAGAGCTTTCTGACCCTCCGTAGACAGCAACGCAACTGACACACGCTCAAGGTAGGGCTGGGCAATTTGGCAAAAAATTAAAATCTAGTTAGTTCACCCCAAAAATGAAAATTCAGTGATTGAATACTCACCCTCATGTGGTTCCAAACCCGTAAGACCTTCGTTCATCTTCAGAACACAAATTAAGATATTTTTGATGAAATCCCAGAGCTTTCTGACCCTCCGTAGACAGCAACGCAACTGACACACGCTCAAGGTAGGGCTGGGCAATTTGGCAAAAAATTTAAATCTAGATATTTTTATTTTTTAGATCTTTTGACCGATTTTATTATTTTTTTAATTAGTCAACTTGAAAATGTAACTGGGTCAAAGACATTAAGATGTCCGCATCAAAAGAAATGTACAAAAGTGATTATATGTCCATAGAAAGCACATTAAATGTAAGTAAAGTGTCTACTTTTAAGGTTTCAAATAAGTTTTTGGAGAATAAACATTACAATGTTACATTGTCATTCAGTGTAACACAATATTTATGTAAAAATTCAAACAACATGCTTATTCTGACTTGTACATATTTAAATGTATAAAATAATAAGGGAGCATATGACATTTTATTGTGTTTTAAATGAGTAAAAATTCTTACTGACAAATGGGCAAAACCTAGGATAGTGGCACATTTAAAAAATGTAAAATTACAACTAATTAGTATTTGGGGTGAAAGTAATTAGTCTTTTAATGTCATAAATTGATTTTTGTTGTAAATATGCCTGACAAGATTGTTACACTGAATTACATTTTAGTGGGTGTCTTCTGTAAATCAGGGGAAAATGTATGATATTTATTGTGAAAAACAACAACAATTTAAAGCAGTATTACACTTATTGTTTTTATGCTTAAACCCTTTTTCGTCTTTGACCCAACTACAACATGATTCAAGTAACTTTTTCGTTATTAACCCTCTATTTAAAGAAAATTCTATTCCAAGTGCACCACCCATGAAGTTGTCAACATGATGTAAATGTTAAACAAATCACTTGTTAAATATCTTTGCAGAAAAGATGCATGAACTACAAATACATATTGTACAAACGTGTCTTATGCATATTATATGTTCAGAAAATCAAGGAAATTCAAATTCAGAATGACTGAAGGTATAACACAAGTACACTATCATTAACTATAGATGTTCTGTAAAAACAACTGCAGCTTTCAGCCTGTCACCATGATGCAAACATGAAATAGCAGACGTACAGTAGCAGTCACAGGTTTTTTTTATTCGCCTATGCTACTTTTCCATTGTTTTTTTATGTGTAAACATGGACACGTCTGACTGTTGAGCTCGTGTCTCTTGCAGTGTCTCATGCATGAAACGGCATTCTAAAAATGCGGCGCTCAAGTTAAAAGAAGTTCACTCCCATCTTATTGCATGTTTTTCCTATTCCACTGCCCGCGTCGCATCTTTGTCAACACAAAAGCGCATTCTGTGTGATACGAGCGCATCACACGTGATCAGTTAGTCACGTGCACCGACATGCGGTTCGATCGTTCTTTTCTCTTTACTGTTATCATTGGCATAGTCAAAGTGTCTAATTCTAACGTTTGGCAATATTTCTATTCAAAATCGCGATTCCTCGATTTCTAAAAAATATAATCGTGGCAAAATTCATTATCGAATGAATCGATAAAATCTGAAAAATCGCCCAGCCCTAGTTCAAGGCCCAGAAAGGTAGTAAGAACATCATTAAAATAGTCCATGTGACGTCAGTGGTTCAACCGTAATTTTTTGAAGCCATGAAAAGACGTTTTGTGCGCGAAGAAACAAAAATAACGACTTTATTCAACAATTTGTCGTCTCCTTGTTATTTTTGTTTTCTCTTGCGCACAAAAAGTATTTCTGTGGCTTCAAAAAATTACGGTTGAACCACTGATGTCACATGGATTTTTTTTTTTTTTTTTACGATTTCCTTACTGTGTTTCTGGATGTTAATTGTGGTAGTTCCCTTGCTGTCTATAGAGGGTCAGAACGCTCTCGGATTTCATCAAAAATATCTTAATTTGTGTTCCGAAGATGAACGAATGTCTTGCAGGTTTGGAACGACATGAGGATGAGTAATTAATGACAGAATTTTCATATTTGGGTGGTCTATCCCTTTAATGCTCCGTTTTTAATTGATGCTGTTCGTCACACAGATCTGAATGGCGAAATGAATGTGAACGGCATCACTACTGCAGGTGGGAGCGGCCAGCCAGGCACCCTCCCTCCCTCTTCCTCTTATCCTCATATGAGCAGCCATCTCCTCCCAGGCAGCATGGGGTTTGACTATCTGTGGGGCCAGTCTCAGTACAACCCAGCGATGGGGCCCGTCCCGCCCCACGGGTTGCTCCAGAAACCTGGCTCCCAGGGTGGGATACAACCACAGCAGCCTCAGCTCCACTTCCAGGGCCATGGACCGTACCAAGTCAACGGAAGTATGGGACCGTCCCGGCAATCTCCGGGCGCTGGGCTGCAGTATTGGGGAAGGGGAAATCCTGGGCAGCCGCAGGGGGGATCTTCGATGCCCATGGGATATAACTCTCAAAGCATGTATGGGACATTTCCCAGCCAGGGGATCCCAGCGTCCCAGCATCACCAGCAGCCTCCGGCCTTGCAGCACCAGTCTGCAACGGCGCATCATCTCCAACCCCATTCACACCACCACCCGCCTCAACACCAGCAGCAGCAACAGCAGCAGCAGCAGCATTATGGTGTGATGCCTAATGGAATGCCGTATTACCAGCATCCATCGCACCAGTCCCAACCGCAGGCCCCAACTCAGTCTCAAGCACCGACTCAGATGATACCACCTGCCGCGCAGAGCTTTACGCCTCCACGAGGAAGCCCTCAGCACCATCACATGGCCAGTGGAGGAGGCAGAAGCAG